GTATACCAAGTACTACCTACTTACATCAGGAAGCGGCCGTACTTTGCAACACAGGATTTCATCTAGCGCTTAAACAGAACGCCCAATATCACTATATTCCAACCAAAGGCATGCTGTTCAACGACAAGGTTAAATTTCCAACAACCTTTATCGTGGCATTGGATTAGTATGGTACTGTACTTCTTTGAAAATTCTGTAAGTGAAACATGGGGGATTGGTCTTAACTTAAGCGCAGAACCCTTGATATCTAGATCTAGATCGGAAGAAAAAAATCCTAAGCGCTGATCAAAGTTATATTATAGTAAGGCAGAATCATGGGGATGAATGACTACCCCAACTTTGGGAAGTTAATTTGCCATGCGGCTTAGAGAACAGAGGCACAGAGCAGGAGTACAGTAAAGTCTCAAAAATATCGTAGCTTTAATTCAACTAAATCCATCCAACTGCGTTGGCAAATCGATATGTAACATACAGAAAAAAGACGAGCGTGAACTTGGGCGTTCGTAATAATAAGTAAGTAATAATATTCCTCCTCAACATATCCTCATTTGAAAACGCCAAAACTCATGTATATACAGACCCATCACACGCTCGCTAAGAAAAAGTGATATAAGGCTAAGACGAGAGATAGCAAAATGAATTATCAAGAAGAATAATATGTCTCGTGTATTGGAGTTATCTTTTTCGAGGTCATTCTTCCCAATGTTGAATATGTTGGTGTGGGAGATGCAGAAAATATAGCACTTTCGCCGTCCAATTCCGTTGGAACAGGTGAAAATTGATTATGTTGAGATGTATGACTTAAACTCTTCCGATCCTGAGGCGGTGAATTTGGGTGGTGCCAGGTATTTGTGTACGGAGGTACACCATCCGGATTTGGACTATGTATCGAATTACCATCGGCATTAACTGTTGTATAGTTTCCTAAACTCGAATTGGTCCCGGATAGCTCGACTGGATCAGGAGCATGTGAAGGAAGCACTTGGTATGCTGACGTACTCCGCTGTTGCGCAATGTGAGGATTTTGGGGATCGTAACTACGATCGGGTCGTTGAGGGTACATTTTGGTTGCGTTTCCAGGATTATATGCAGGTACAATAGGCGCAGAGACGTCTGGTACGTGAGCACGACTTTTACGGATACGAAAGATGCATAAGCCTGCAACGAGAAGACCGACAATTACAACGACTATTCCTACAACAATTCCAGCAATTGCACCAGGGCCCAACTTGTTTCCAGAAGGGTTGGATGTTGAAGAAGCAGTTGCACTAGTAATTGCTCTAGTGGGTGTACGATTCACGGCAGATGCCTTTTGCGAAAAGTATACATTCAGATCGCCGTTTTGAAAACCAGTGGCAGGAGCTTGCATGGTTGCGCCACCTGTAGGACTATGTCATTGTCAGCATTTTATCTCAGCTTTCAGACTATCAATACGTACGATCCACCAATGACGGAAATTATGGCTGAAGGTACGGCGTATGAGGTAAGATCTGGTTGATAGGTATTCCATGGATTGAATGATGCCTGACCTGGGGCTGGTTCGTTGAGATTGACATTATGCGTTCCCCAAGATGGTGGACTATCGCAAGTCGACTGATCTTTTGGAAATGATCCACCCACGATAAGCATCTGAGCTCCATTGACCACGTTACAGCTCAACATATTGTGTGGTCTCGCGGAACTTGGAGCGTTTTCCCACCACTTAATCCATGTGAAGGAAGGAAGACTGAGAATATAGAGATCATCGTACCCTGAAGAATTCACTCCAAAGCCTGCACCTCCATATAGATAGCTTAAAATATCAGTAAATTGCCATAAAAAACGTGACGATATAATACTTACATGTTGTAGGATGACTGGTCAGGTGCCCAAGTAGCACCTGCGCAAAACCTCCTCCTGTCTCCAGGAATATCTCCAGTTGCGTTTTGAGTGTACCATATAGAACTTTGGATGTCGTAAATATGAATCTGGTTCATAGGTGATGCTACTATTGTCTCATTGTTGTATGGCGTTTGTATACCTCCAAAGTAGACAAGAATCCCGGTGCGACTCGCCGGGAGATACACCATGGCACCCTCTGCTCTTCCAATCTGATCTGGTCCAGTACTGTTTGTCCATGTTCCATACTGATAATCATACTTGATCAAGCCGCTCGTTGCGAGAGGCGGTCCAGTCCATCCCGGAATTGAAGCATTGCTTTGCCATCCACCAAGCATATAACCTTGGCCTAGCTCGGATATACTAACTCCCATGCCATACGAAACGCTCGAAACACCATTAGGCGAACCAAAATTTTCCCATTGATTATACAGCAGGTCGTACGAATAAAGATTGGGTGCGCTTGGTGAACTGCCGAAGTTGTCGCCGCCAAAAAGATAAAATCTCTTGTTGACCTCATCTCCCCAAAGTACACCTCCGCTCACATTTGGTATCGACGCATTCTTTGAAAGATTGGCGTGTAACTGAGGCATTCCTGGCCCCGCTGGACTTGTGTCGAGATCATTATATAGAAGCCAAGAATCTATCATACCATCAGTTGCGTAGTTCATGAGCCAATAATGTCTTGTTGCTGATAATAACTTACTTGAATAATTAGCTGGATTCTGCGACAATGGATTCCAATCGAGCATTCCGCCATCGATAAATAATTGTCGATCAATGACAGTCGTTTGATGTCCCCATCTCCTACAAAAATCGTTCAAAGGATCTTTCTGTTGCCACGACGGCTGCACCAAACATAGCAAAATAACCAGTATCGCAGACATCGAGCCAGTCAATTGCCCGTCCCAGAAAGAGAATAATGAGCTAGAACATTGTCGTCGCCTCGAAAGTCGTAAGGAACTCGCCATATCTAAGTGCTCAGAGTTGTATATTCATCAATAATCTAGTGGATGAGATATTAGGAAGAACCTGTGGCCACAGGTAGGTGATTACGGCCGATCTAAAGATTAGAAAGCAGGATTCACAAGATGGATATGACTGAAAGCAATTTTGCAGAACAGGCCACCACGAAGGATTCAGTCCGTCCTATATGTGTAATAATCGAGACTGATAGAGTTTTCCAGCATATTTCTAGCGATTGGCACTCAGCCCTCCCGTGAAGCTGGGAGATACATCAGCCTCCATGTCAAGCTTAGGTTACCTTGACTTGATCATGTCGAGATTACATCTAGTCCTCAAACACAGGTTTAATCCCTTGACAATGTGACATTGAATTTCTAGAATGATTGCGGTATGTAAGACTTTCGTGTCAATGGAAGCTACCAATTAAAGTAAGAATCTCACTTTGAGGTAAGGCGCAGCTAAAGGATGACTGCACTGCAGGGGCCCATCGTATACCTCAGCTTGCATAGCAACACCAAAGTAGAATTCAATTGTTTTTTTAACACTGCCAACAATGAACTATACATTGTGCATGTACACGATGATTTGTTGGTATTTCGACTTCGAATCCGTATTGAATGCACCATAATGCAAAACACAAAAAATAGTAGTACTACGTGCAAGCACGGCATTCGTTACTCAATGCATGGAAGATTTGATAATGATTCCAATGGGTACCAATTTGTACCAGTTCGAATCCTTGAAACGTCGTGGGATCACGCCACTTCCTTCGTCTCCTACTCATTTACCATGTGTGAGATAAGGGCACCAGATGATTCCAACGAAGGGTAAAAAAGTGAAAGATAGAGAGGTTTATGAAGGAGATTTTGGGGTCGAGGCTTTGTAAGAAGGCACTGTGGATGAGATGAACAATTCCTACAATTCATATTAATTGATCGTTCTCCCCCACTCCTATAATGGACGGGTTTTGCAACATCATCGGTTTTCACTGCAAAGCACAACGGATTTGTCCACGATCGAATGACACCAACGACACTAGATGTTGGTTTTCCATTGTAGTGGCTGGTAGAAGTCGGTCTAGAATGGGGGCTTGAATAAGTTGATGTTACTGTGCTATAACACACATATCGGCAAGGAAAGAGGGTACCAGAATAAATGAGTTTTCTCGACTCTTCTGTCTGTTGTCTGTTGAGTTCGGCGTGAGTTGTAAAGAATGATGATCTAAAAATGTATACTTCGTACAACATTCCGCACGGTCGCAAGATTTATTATTAGCGGGAGATAAAGGCCGAAACATAGCCTGCCGCTGGCGTCAAACCGTTTTCACGTGATGTCTCGTTTGCCAAGCCCCCCAGCATTTTCTTCCAATCGTGAATCGTAACTAGAAGGTACCCTCGATTTACATCGTACTTAAGTAGGTATGTATCTATCTACCTACCTACCAAGTATGAAGATATACTACCCAGGTACCTAGGTATCTGATTCACTTTGATCAAAATTTGTTTACTCGTGAAATATCTAGCCAACACGCACACCAATGACACTACCAACGAGATACCAACAGAAGTGCATAAATCCTGGTCTTCTTTCCGTTTCTTGTCGTGTTGTTTCTCTCATACCTATCTTTGCTTTGGTTGTATCCTTGAATCCTAGAAGATTCCAACATGTCTGTTTGTTTGTTTGTTTGTTCGTTGGTCATCGCCAAGTAACTTCAAGTTCGAGAAATTACTGTAGGATTAATGTAGCCTTCAAAGTTAGGGCACTTTGACAATATATGTTATCCCCCTCATCCCCTTCATCTCCTTCAACCTTTATCTTTCACTCAAAGACACTGGTTCTGTAGCAAGCTTACCATCCAATTATAGAAACACATACCTCCTAAGCCCTCAAGCGCGTAAATCCTTCGACTCCCATTCAACGAGGGGTCTGCGGACAGGCTGACACTATTCTTGGCATGTCCTCATAAAACCACATCATGCCTCCCTGGAAAATTAGAGTTGCACTCTGGTGGTTCAACCGCTTTGTTAGAATGATACTGGCCGTTTCTACATAGATATTCTCTTTTTTGATTACGTTGCTCAATACCCTTGTTTTGTTCATTTCTCCACAATCCTTATACCCTTGTCTCTATTAGTTCTTCCTTTTATCCTTCTAGAATGTCTTATTCGTTTGCTTTCGATGATACCCCACAAGTTTTGAATCTCTTTTCCGAGTGGTTATGTTGGTGTATGCTTTGGGCCGGTATCAAAGTCTATTCGTTCATTTCCCGAAAGAAGATACCATATGCCCGAGGAGGTGATATCGAGGACGAATCAACAAGTCTCGCATTCTTTATCGTTACATCTAGTGTTTGTGCATCGCTTGTTGAAGTTAATTGGATACTGGTTTGTCCCCCATTATCCGTCGACTTATTACTCAAACTCTAAAACTTCCTGCAGCCATTCTTTACTCCAGCACTCTACTTTGTCACTCGAAATAGTGATGCCGATCATCATGTCCTCCCTAGCCACTCCAAATCCGAGAAATTAGAACATTCGACCAATTATGGCTACAATTTGATATTTTATATTCTTTGTCGCCATTTCAACTAGTGTCTCTTTCTCCCCCTCGGCATACAACCCTATCACTATCGGTCTAGGCCTCATATTCTTCATCTGCCAAACGACAATCTATTCACGTCTAAGCACGTCATCTGATTCCCGTGATGAAGCTCCCTCCGTGCATCAACTTCTTTTAGACCTGGAAGGAACATGCTGCTGGGTAGTTTGCTTCCTGACTGTTATCCTCCTGGTTTCACAAGCAACAAAGTCCGGGATTCTTAGTCTCTCGATTTACAGTAGTCTTAAGGCACTTTCATGGGCTGCTGTCATAATCCTTGTAAGTTTCATATTGCATTCATAATTCATTCTTCTTCTACACAACGATCATCCTCATTACTAATGGCCTATCATAGTGCAATGGAGGGCATATCTTGTAACCTTACTTCTCGTGTCTTCTACCTTTGGACTCTCTACCATATATATACACGTCCTTTCTTCTTCAGCTTTAGCTGTGCTGTCGTGTCTTTGTGCGCTTTTTGTTCTAGCACATATTATATCCACCTTGCCACGGAAGTCTTCTACACGCCGAATTCTAGGCTTCTTTGCTGTCTTCCCAATTATCGCACTTCTCTTACGTTTTGGAATCCCTGAGGCAATCGAGGCCTTTTCCGAACTAGTGAATGGAATCTTTTCCCAAACTCGCTGCGCAAACAACCAAGACACACTGGGGCAATGCTACCGAAATTTCTCATGTAATTAGGGATGAGCCCTCTCGACTTGTGGCAGAATTCGGTCCTAGAGAAGAACTAAAATCGTGGCTAGATGCCATATTTGGACCCTCGAAGTCATGCACAGTTCCTACTGCTGTGACTGTCGAGTTATGATAGCACTTGTACACTATATTGTTTTTTTAAATAAAGATGTATCACGTTTTCTGCCCTACTTCGCATCATCACTATCATCATCATAGACATAGATTATAGACAGCATTACGGGTCACATGTAAATAGACTTTCGCGGAGAAGGATAAATTTTCAAGAAATATCTAAATATACTTTTCATCATAAGCGTTCATCAACTTGTACATCATGTGTCATCGGCATACATTCCGGGCCATGACCCGTAATGTTTTCCCTGTTACCATGCGTTCTCTCAACTATCACATATGTTCGCCCCCGAGAGCCCCCAGACCCTAATGCAGGTACCAAAGTTGTTCCTGAATCGTTATCACTTATTCAATCAATCAATTGGTTTCAAAATCGCTTACTAATGTATCTTGCACGCCGAGCACATCCCACCCTGCAAGGATTGGAGTGGTGAAATGAATAAATCTACACTGGATAAATATAAAATTTCAATATTCGGAAGGTGGTGTTCTGTTTCTTCTTCAAAATTACTTCTCATCGGTATACCGCACAGCTTCTCTACAAAAAGAATCAGGAAAATTTTGATCCTGAGCAATCCTTCGCATTGCGGACGTCACAGCATACTGTAACATCAAACCGACAATTTTCGGTCGTGCAAAGCAAGGAAACTACGCTTCGAACGGCTCGAACAATCGGTTGATCATAGAGTATCACAGAACACAGTTTCACATCACGCAGTGGAATGAATTTGTAAGCTCGAATTTGATTAAAATCGCGATTATGCAATCAAGCGGGCGGAGACATGAGGAAATTTTCTTCGTCGATATAATGGGTGTGAAGAAGATTCCAACGACCCTAAAATATATCGGGAGATTATCATCATTCCTGGTATAGTTTCCTGTTGTGCTTTTGTGAGGGAACACAAAAGCGTTGAATGCATTGCATAACTAGTTCTTGGGGAATCCTTCATGGTTCATCAGTGATGCAGTGTACCATGATTTGATTTACTATAATGCAGTGTTAGCTACTGTCACCGCAGTCGTGCGAGTGCCTCGGCTTATACTGATGTGGTACATTTATCAAATCTCTATCGAGGTTACACCAAGACTAATTCGACGAACTAGTGGGGAACCTTCAGGTGGTGACGGGCTAGTTCCTGCATAAAACATGAAAAAAGGGAGACGTATGCTTTATTCCAAGGCAAGGGAACTATTTATGTTATACCAGGACACTGCATTGAAATTCTATGCATTCACTCCTGTCTTCGAGGTGAAAAGGAGGTGATTTTAGAGAATTTGCCTATGAATTATATACTCAATACTTGGCAGATAACTTCAACGGTCATGTGTTCAAAGTTCTCCTTCTGTTTTTCTCCCTTGAAATTGTGTGGGACAATTGCTTACTTAGTACATCTTTTCCCCAGTGAAAAATTAGCTTGGACTCATTGGATAACTCCGAGAAAATGCTTTTCCTGGACGCACTTTGATGCGGGTGATAACAGAAACTCGAAGGTTTTCCCCATGGTTAAGTCTTACACACAAGTTGAATACTTCGTTAAAAGCTCGAGTGACGGAAACCTGGACTAGATCATTAGATGTTGATCATATGTCTTATGGTGCTAGTCTACGTTCGTCAATGCAGACTGACCTGAAGGAATTCGTCGCCAATGGAGCTACTCGCAATCATGAACTGGGCTGTTGGGAGCTGGAAGAGAATCGTTATATTCGTTGACTCTCCTTGACTATGTCCATATGTTACTAGTACAACTTTTTTCTCTGACTTATTTATACAAAATGCAACAAAGTGCGCTCAGTGGCGTTTCATACCCCTCCTTTGCTTCATCTTCTTCTTTGGAAAGACTGAGCCTGGTCCAAAATCTGGTTCACCACCTAGCGTACCAAGTATGTCTCCCACGTAATTAGTAGCTTCAATACCCCCAGCAAATGTACTATTCCAGCCATTCACAATACCTTCAACCACCTTCACACCAGCTAAGTAAATATTCTGGATAGATGGATCATAACCTTGGTCTTGTTCGAAAAGATTATTCAAGATAGTTTGATTGGCGTGAGGACGATCAAAGTCAGATGCAGTACGCATGATAATGATACGGGAGAAATCAACAAGACTATCAGTGGCGGCTCGGAGAAGAGCTTCCAGAGTGGCGTTGTCTTCTTGTTGGGTAGTGCAGTAAATACCGCTGCCATTTGTCCACAGCGAGGTAGTATTTTCAAAAGCATCGGCGAGTAGCTCTCCGGTGAAGTAGACATCTGAGGTTGCAGTGTCACAAGCCACAACCGAAGGTGGTTGAGCACCGAGAGCATATGCTTCTGTGGCACCGTATAGAGCTCGATAGCTCATTGCATCGGCGGTGTCATTAAGAACAGCTGTTCGGGCAAAATCCATGGCGATCTGTCGTAGTGGTTCATTGACTTCAAAAACTTCAGTGCCGTAGATTTCAGTCACTGTTTCTGTTGGCGAGTAAGATCCTTGAGGCCAATATCCAGTGGTCCAATTAGAAGGCATTTCTCTAGCATCCATCTCGTATTGAAGAGCTACAGATACAGCGTAACGGGAAAATGTTACAGCCTTGGCTATATCAGCATAATACCTTAGCGGGAACAGAATTGATACTTACACCAATGGTGGCCACCTTTGGAGATACACCTGCGATACCCGCGATGAGGAAATAGGTCTGGCTCAAGTCGAAGAGGGGTGAATATGCAATAGAATTGATTGTTACAGCAGCATTTATTTCTGAAATTTTTAGCTAGACCCAAGGAAACATTCTTTGCCGCATAGGAACTCAATTTCTTACCTCCTTCTCCAGTTATAACTTGGCAAATTTCTCCGTCTAGTGTACAATGTACCTCGGGGAAAAGTGGACTTATGCCAGGCACAGTGATATTCTTAGCCAGAATATCAAATTCTTTGATCCCATACCATGCTTCTCCTTCATCTGAAAACTGTGTTTCGAGTCAATAGACTGCTACTCGAGCTATGGTCTTTTGCTTACCATGTCCACAATGAATACTTTTGGTGTGATTGCTTTGACGTGAGTGCCATTTAGAGATCTTGTACGAAGTTGAGAAGAGGCATCTGAAGTTCGTGAAGCTGCAGTAAAAGAACTCAGACATACAGTCGCGATGAGATTGAGAAGACGCATGTTGAATCAATCATACAAGATAGCACAGGACAAAAAGTCAAGAGCAAAAGCGCGGGAAAGAATTGGGAACAGTTCAACTTTATGAGCTACATAGCGACTATTTGTATACTTCTTGACGTCTTCATCCTAGATCAAGATGTCATGAGGAGTGGGCACGCTGACGACGATGATTTGAAGACAGCTTCTGAATCTAGAATTAGTGGGGTTGATGCATGCTTATCTGGACGACAGGGGCCCCTGCCATCCAGATACGAGAAAGTTTTCGGTTACGCTAAGATTAATGGAGTAAGTCTACCCATTATTAGCCAGGTACTCCATTCTTAATCGCAAAGAAATAGCAGATATCACTTTCGACACAGGAAATAAAGTTTAACTAAGCTTTGATAAGAGAAAGCAAGATTACCAATTCCGTGACTCCCGGCTCCAACCTCTATCTTTCACCATAAAGTCATAAACCTAAACCGATATCCTCAGATCTAATGCTCAAATCCTAGGTTTACGAGACGGTCTCCATCTGGCTACTTGCAAGCTCAAAGACATCAACCCAGCCGTCCCCGTTGGGTCTCTTTCTGCCACCTTCATAAACATGATTCAAATAAATCTCAGCCTCCCTACCCCATCCCAACAATTGATCTTCCGATCCCCAATCACTCATTGCCATAAGACCGATCGGAACCTTTCCTTCACCAGCCGTCTCAACAGGATCAACATATCCAACAGGAACACTAATCGCAGGATTTCCACACAAATTGGCAATCCACACATATTCCACACTACGAAAAGTAAGATTACCATTCGTAAAACCATATTTAAGATCTTTTTCGGATTTAATATCCCATCCTGGCATAGGGCACGTTGGGGTCACAATGAGTAATCCCGGATACATCTCGAACAGAAACGCCAGATGTTGCATGAGGATATTACGCATTTGCTGTGCGAGAAGATAGTCTTGAGCGGTCATCTGTGAACCAACTCCAAGAGCTATTTTGTTTGCTGGATTGAGATCGGCAAGCCATGAAGTTGAGGTAGGTTTTTGATCTGGAAGATGATTGGAACGCGCACGAATGGCTAGTTCGGCCAGGATAGTGGAAACATGGGCCTTTTGTCCTTCGGGTATGTAGGGCAGTTCGATATCGACTACTTCATAACCCAGGTGGTTCTCATAGTAATCTATGGCTTTTTGGCACATCTCAAGAACTGAAGCATCGGACCGCTCAAACCACGGCTTATAGATGCCTATAATTTTTGGCTGCAAACTTGAAGTAAGAATTTTGCTTGGAGGCGCAAAAGATTGGCAAATTGAATCGGATGGATCTGGTTGTGCAAGAACTCGATACATGGCTTCTAGGTCCATCATTGAAGATGCCAAGGGACCAGTGACGACAACGGTACTTGAAGTGTCTTCTAGGCGACCATACGTAGGTTTCAATCCATAAATCCCGCAGAAAGCAGCTGGAATACGGATACTTCCTCCTCCATCAGCTCCAAAAGTGAAGGGTACCAACCCGGCTGCTACAGCGTAAGCTGAACCAGATGAAGATCCTCCGGTATAGTAATTTCGGTTGTGTGGATTCCGAGGAGTTCCCCAGTATGGATTCAAGCCTGTGGTGTCGGTGCCGTATTCGTACATGTTCGTTTTACCAAGGATAATTACTCCACACTCTTCTAATTTTTGAATTGGCCAATCAGAAGTTTCTGATATTGGAAAGAGTTCGTCGTTTGCAGCTCTTCCGTTGGTTGTTCGATATCCAGCTATATGTGTCGCATCTTTGATAGCTGATGGAATACCGTCGAGTAATCCAAGTGGCTTGCCTGCCGCGTAACGGGCTGTTGATTTTTCGGCAGCATCAAGGACGGATTCAACGTTTGTCGCGATGAAAGAAATGGCATGATGGGATGGTGTAGCAATATCTCGACGGATGAGTGGAAGGAGAGATTTACATACTGCGAGAGGGGTGAGTTCTCCAGAAAGATACTTTTCGTGATAATCTGCGACTGTATGATAACGACCGGGAAAATCTTGAAAAGAAGATCGGTCAAAATCAGGAACATATGGAGCTTCCGAATCATTGGCAAGTGGAATAACAAGAGGCTGGTTATGTTAGTCACGCAGTTAACGATTTAAGAGGGGACGTTCTTTACATTCATTCTCTCTATGGCGTTTCCCAAGTCAAGATCTCTTAACACAGTAAAGCCTGCATTATTGTAAATAAATTTTTGAACAAAATCAAATTTAGAAACGCTGGCAATTGCTTATTAGCCCCTCACAAATCGCCGAAACGGATATCACTCTACTCACATCCATCCTAGAATAACCAAAGCTATACCGCTCTGAACTGGATTCACTTCGACTGGCATATTGAATGGGATTTCGGGACCTTCAACCGGTTTTGGGTAGCCAAAGAAGCGACGAGGAGGTTGCTCCTTGGAGTCTGGTGGTTGGGACATGCTGTAGGTTTGATTCTGAGAGATTTTTGGAATACCTGAGCCTGTTAGCCAAGCTGTACATGAATAGGAAGCTAAGATTGGATACAGACAGCCTTTAGTCGGGTCTGAACCAATGATTCGATGTTACTGCCAATGAAGGTGACGCTTGACGCAAGATAGTGCCGCGGGAAGTCAAAAAATCGAAATAAAGATCTAGGTGTTTGATCAGTCGTTATCGACAACGGTGGGAGAGGAGACTCCCAGGGAAGTTATAGTAATCATGCCATATCATACAAAGTGATGTGCCATACGTGTACTGATATTCACTCATCTCCGCCGTTTAGATCCAACTGTTGTGTACGGATCTGGACTAGGTTTTGATGATTACCGCAAGAAGTGAGTTAATCTTTTCAACGGAATCAAGTATTTTGACACGTGAGGACAGGAGAGATCGATTGTTGTTTTTCAGGAAGGGAGATGTTGACTCGAATTTTTGTTTCAATATAAATAGGGAATTTGCACGTGTTTCGCACGTGAATCTCATGTTGTGCAATCATGCAAAAAAAAATGCTGACTCAGGTCAACCGGGCAAACCAGAAGCAAAGGCAAAGATAAATTGATTGTCCACATTGGAACTATTTCTGAGTTCACTTAAAACCCCAGAAGTCTTCCAGCCAACAATTGCTCCAAAGCTTTGCTCAAACATGCCGGAAGGTAATTCAGATATTCCCCTGAAGCAAAAGTCACGACGAGGACAGACTAAGCGGGCAGTCAAATCAAAAAACACTGGAGACAAGAGGAAACTGTGTTCGAAAGCGATCAAAACAATCCCCGTGGTACAAGGGCCAGTTATGAGATTGTCTGATGGAAATTTGCAGGCAGCTATTGAGAAAGCAAGACCAGAAAGTACCGCTGAAATCGATATTAAGACTGCAAGATTGATCAAAAATCTGGCTGAGCAGGAAGAGGTTACCGGGGCCGCCGTTGAGAATTTGGGTGCAAAGGATCAAAGTAGCAAGCAAGAAGTCGAATGTGTCCCTAGAGTTCAGAAGGAAACTGCTACTGAGATTGTGGGCACACTTACAGAGGCTGGAACCCAGATCGAACTTGATTCTTTTGATTTGGTGATGAATATGGTCAAGCAAATGGTGGAAAGAAGTGAAGTGAACAAGAAAGAAGATATCAAGACTTATGCGCCATTGTTACGAAACAAGGAGATGCGGGCATCAAAGTATCTGAATCCACTAGTTCAGAGATTGATCCCAGTGAAAGCTTGAGTGGATCCGCCGAGAAGAGCAGAGAGAAGGAACGTTGTGATGCTAACGCCGCTGACCACTCCGTCGCCCACACTCCTAACATTTTTGCTGGAATAGATGTCAAGACACTGGAGTCGACTGACCGTTTTCTTAACGTATTTGCCGATAGTATTGATTCATTAATTTCTTCACTTGAGAAAACAAGTCTCCGGCAGTCACAAGACATGAATAAACCCAAAAATATCAACCCAGATCACTCACGCTGGTTTCGATATCGCCACAACTCGATTAATCAGCACGTTGAGTTATGTCAGCTTGTTCCACAAGTTGTGCAAAGCTATCCTATACAAAGAGAGAAAACAACAATAGGTCAGTGACTTCTAAACTTAGAATCTGAGACTTCCTCGACGGAGTGTCCCGAATCGCGCTGACACATTGCTTGTAAGCTCGACTCAATATAAATGGTCTTCATCGATGTACCGCAGCTAGTGGCTGGGACCAACCCTTCCAAAAAAACGATATTATATCGAACTTGACCTGGACATCACAAGTGGAAGAACTTTGCAAGATCATCAACCATAAACTCCCCCATCAAAAAGATCTGGACTATGGATTTCCCGGCAGGTATCATGCATGTCACGCGGAAAAACAATTGATTGCTTGGTATCTTTACGAAAACACATTGGCAGGACATCAAGTCAACACGAAACTACCAAATACTCTTCCCTACCGAGAGCTCAAAGCTTCAGCTCCACGAGGGGCTCTTATAGTTGTTAGTCGAAAGATCTGCAAAGATTGTAAGGAGTTTATCGAGAAGGTCAGAAAGCACTTTGAAATTTCCGATCACTTTCACGTGGAATCTCGTACACATCTTGAGGACATACTTGATACGGAAAAGACTAAGAAGTTTCTTGAAAGTTGTAATAACTGGAAATTCTATTGAGTTTATCATGATCCTTGGATGGGCGATCAAGCAAAATATTTGCTAAGACTGTTGGAAAGCTTCACGTTCTAGGATGTGTGTCTGCCAATCCAAGTGGTTGGTTTGAACATTCCATGATTTTCTTCCAATTTCTATGGAGGAGGTCCAATCAATCATAGACCTCAAGGCATTCAATTAGGCATTTTTGACCCAGATAAATACAAGGCTAACCGCAAAATCGCCCACACAGTGAAATAGTTCATGCTGTGCGACCATCCAAAATGCTATGAGGCTGAGTCAGACTGCCAACTATGATGAGGGATAATAAATGCGAACGATAGACCTTTAAAAATTTACATATATTCAACTTCCTCTTCGATCTCGAGTCTTAGACAGATTTATCTCATCAACCTCCACGCGTCAAAAGAAAGAATAAACAACACTTCTGTACAAAAATCGTAAGGCTAGGTCTAGTGATCAAGTACAGATGACGGAGGCTTTAGGGTCAAAAGAACTAGAAGGTGCGAGATCAAAGCAACCATATGAATTAAGGAGGGAGTTTACTGCATTGAGGAAGCTTCGAAAAGCTGAGGAAGACGCTAAGTCTCGGCAGAGTCAGGCTGAGTCTAATAACATTGCTGTCATACAAGAGCTAAATCCAAACGAAGCAGATGGAACCCTTGTCAAAGATGAACTCGCCACTCAGTCTCACTAGAACAATAGTTCAAAAAGCATAAACGGTTCCGAAAACAAAAGGACCGATATTGCTCGCTTGACTGATGAATTTGCGAAATCTAAACTCGGACCAAAAGAAAAGACGCCCAGAGAAATCTGGAACGATCTAACGAATGATCCGGAGAGTTTGGAGAATCCTAAGCTGGCTCGCTTTCGCTCGCTGGATGTCACCCCTGATCCTTCCTGGTTCGAAAGTATCTTGAGCAAAGCCGAAAGCATTCTCGAAAAGACTGCAGATGGAGGGCAGTTGAAAGGTAGCGATAAAGACTCGGCTATCGAGCGACGAAATGATATCCTTAAGATACTTATGCAAGGGGCTCTAGAGCTGGGTTCATATATATTTGATTCCTCTGAGATTTCCGGAAAGCTTGCAGCACAACACGATGTCCAAAATCAAGATCGCCACGAGGCAGTCACCTCAGTTGAACCTGCAAGCGACGGCCATACAGACGGAAATACCATTATCGCATCGACACCATGTGAGAATTGTTCTGATGCACTTGCTCCCCACCAAGTAGTCGAGCTTATGGAAAAGCCTACCCAGAAATCACGGGATCGATCAATTTGGTTTGAATATCATTCAAAAGAACCACAAAGTGTGTACTACACTATCGATCTGTACGAGCGGGTCCATAGGTTTAATCTTGACAAGTATAATGCAAATTCGAACGAAAAGACAGTAGGTATGTTCATCCCTTCAGCTGGGTGATATTTCGACATCATAGTCTTACAAATTTTCCTTTAGCTCGTTTATATGTACCAATAAAATCACCACCACCAACACGACGACCACTGAACTTCGTTGCCTCAAAACTTCAAATCTTCAATGCCATCAGTGGTTGGGCTCCTGTGACACTCACAGCAAGATGTTCAAATCCATTTATCCCGAACAAAACTTGGACTGAGAAAGTTCAAGAATTGTGCCAGGTCACAGGATATCACTTAGAACCGTGCGAATACGTCGATTGCGGAAATCCGGGTAGATACAACGCGTGTCATGCCGAGAAACAAATTATAGCCTATTGGCTCTACCACTATGTTTTGAGTTCGCGCAGCGCCGACCCATCGGCGCCTTGGGATAAGAAATACAATGAACCTATAAAGCCGGAATATTACGAGGGTCTTTTTATCGTCATCAGTAACCCTCTCTGCGATTGCTGCGACCGTTTCCTGAATCACGTAGCGACATATTACAAAATTTCCTTCACGATTCACTGTCCTGGTGGTCCAGGCGAAGGAATTAAGTTTCCAAGCATGCCACTAGAGTTGCGACGAGATGACTTGAAATAGGATGGCGTTGGTCCCAGTATCTTATTTTCATTCTGTTTCCCTAGCCTATATATACACATATACCTGATTCAAGACTACTATCGTTACGTACGAACATGGGTGAATGACCTGTAGTCATTAGGCTACTATAGTACACTGAACGAGAGGGCTAGCCTCAATACCTAGGTACCTATTTAAAGATTGATTCTTCCTGCACATAGCTCGTTCTTTAGGCAGAATACAGTATTGACAGTGAGGACTGACCGGCGTAGATGCTACGTCATCTGTACTCTTCTCACACCAACAGATTGCCTGCATTAAAGTAAGGATGATATAGCATTACAACCAAATTTCAAATTATTCCTTATGAGGTACACTGTACACTACTACTATATCACTTTCAAGTAGAGATCTAAGGACTATGTGTTATTCATTTATTATTCCTCAATACAACCAATACAACGCAAACAAACCCATCTCATTTCATACTATCCCATCCCATACGACCTCTTCCATTCCATAAACCCCCTATAACTACACTACCTAGCTAAATTTATCAATATACAGTTTCATCTCAATATCATCCGTCATCAATTTCGAATATCGGGGAATAAGTTGAAGCAAGCACCAAAGAACATCGTGACTGCACGACGCCTGAACGGACCTCAACATATGCCAGCAGGATTTTAACAGGTAAGAAAGTATGAGAGTATAGAGACATAGCATCACATAACATCACCATAACTTCAACAACCAAACACATTAAACGATATCAGGATAATTATTGTTATTCAACAAAACAAAAAGCAAGCAATTTTGGGTATAAAAAGTCGAACGTTCACCACCCCACCCAACATCCCCCCTTCACATCTCGTTTATCGTATTCACGTATCCACATATTCATCACCAAAAGCCAAACCCCAACCCCATGCCAAACGCCCCCATACTATCATCCATAACCAATTATATTCAAAAGACATTCATAGAAGTGAAGGTATCAAGCCTCGATGCATATCCACATTGCCCGACATCGTAAGATGGTATTTAGACAGCAACTTCCATAGCAGGATCATGACGATCGCTGGATCGACTGCTGCGGGAAACGTGTAAAGCGGCCATGATGGTAGTAGCAAGAACAACAACCTATTCACCCAAAGTTAGTTCCCATTCTTCTACAACTTAAAAAGCTCATCGAGAACGGAGAAAGAGATACGTACCATAAGAAAGCGGCGAAAACATCTCCAGCAATGCTAGCTTCACATACGCTCCAGTTGGAATGTCCACAGTTGACATTATTAAGCATAACAGCCAAGGCAATAAAGCCTGCAAACCAAAAGATCATGGTAACAGCCTCGGCAAATAGGATTCCATATTTATGTGCTGCAGTTGGGAAATGGGTGGGTGCGATAATAAGGTAGATGAGAGCGAGGATAGTCCAAACAGCTGTAAAGACGAGGAAGTTGACGGAATCTGGTGACCACCAGTAGGACCATGCGTCGGCAGCTAGATGGTGTTAGTAATGAGTAGAGGGAATATGAGGGGAACTGTGTACATACCATAGGCCATCAAACCGAGGACGATGATGGAGAAGACCGCCTGTACGATGCGAAGAGGGAGGGTGAATGCGAAAGCCATGATTTCGGTATGATTATCGGTGGAAAATTAATTTGAAGGTATTGTGTAGAATCTGATCTCCAGAGGATGATTTCTAGGAATATTGTAGATCGATATCTTCGATATAAATATTAAAGTTGCCGAGAGATGAGAAATATGGGGGTATGGATCAAGTTTTGTTCGATGTGAAAAAAAAAATTAAGTTTTGGAGGAGGCTGGTTATGGGTCTTTAGTTGTTGTTGTTATGTTTCAGTAGAAGTGACGATGGAATTTATTTGTCGATACTTGCAGCTTGACCGAGTATTAAGTATCCAGTATATATGCATATGAAATAAGATCATCGTACGTCCTCATGTGTTCCAGGATCCGTGGCAGTAGTTCATCATCGTATGTGAATGGTTGGCGGTGAGGTAATTGATCCACACATTGTAACGACAAGGGATTCATTTCAAGATTTTTCGACATTGTGGCAGTGTGCTACTCGCATGTGTATTTTGAAGAAATCTTGATGCTTGGCAGAGATGACGTAGAAACAGAAATCAGGGTCCGAGGATTTCGTTGGTGATGGCAGGGGCGTGAAGTTCAGGTGAACATGGGACCGTGGATGGCTTCGCGTCTAATATATGGAGCCAATGAGCTGTCACATCGTCCGAGCCACAAAGTATTCGTTCCAATGCTACCACCAGGTTTTGGATGATTGGATGATTGGATGTAGGAAGAACGGAAGGATGAACGAGACTTGATTGTGACTCTTTGACCATGAGGAGCGATGGGAAGTATAAGGCTAGAATTTGAGGGCAGTTAGACTATCTCGAGATTGTGACAAATTTAGTAGAGGAGAGAGGAGAGAGGAGAGGTTACGATCGGAAGAACGGAAGAACGCCAATTGTCCTAACCTTATCTCAACTAGTACTAACTGGGTCTAGCTTATATGCTTCTTCGCACCGCAACTTTCAACAACGATGGCTCGAGAATACTAGGTAGTAACTTACGATTGTACGCCGAGTATGCAAGGGACCCAAAAGCAATTGTTGCGTTCTATTAGTAAGTATATCTTCATTATCTAATGTGAAATACAATCAAGATATTTCTCGGCAGTCATACATTTCTGGATAATACACATGTTCTACAATCTTGCCAAGTGATGCGTACGTAATAACTCTGTCAATTCCTTTGGAGGGAGTATGAAGGAATTCATATATTGTAAATACATTTAGATATTGATCAGGTGATTGGATGAAATTCATCACTCGCAGATTCCTGAGATACTCGCACCGTTTGATTACATGCATCATGTCGAATAACGATTCCTCCAAAACCCTAGACGTATACAACCGCTGGCGTCCACCATAGAATTCGACTCCACAAAGAGCCAGACAAGAGTAACCCCACCACAATCCAATCTTAAGGTCAGTGTCTTCCTGATTTGTCAGACCCAAAGACCCTCGTCAACTAGATTGACCACAACCTCTCCTCCTCTCCTAACTATCTCCTCTTCATGTCCACAAGCGCCGCTCTCTCATCCAAGGACAAGTCCTTCTTCATTTAACAATATCCTTGGTCTCGAAATAAACAACACGACTATACATTAGCAAATCATCACGTTAGCCATCCACCAAGTTGTCGCCAGCTCAGACTACAATATTCTCGCATATGAACACAGTGACAGCGGAAAACTGATCCTACAGTAGGCCATGAGTATGAGGAAGGTAGTGATTTGAGATTATGTCTCGCTGTAAGAAAAGCACGGTCGATCTATTGAATGGAAGCAATGAACGTTTTATTCGTGAAGTCTCGGACGAAGAAAACCGATCTTCATGGGAAATCTGAACTTTTAGATGGCTGCAAAGTGTGCATCCAGGTTATTGCACGGCGAGCTTGTTGGATATTCGATTCATTGAAAGAAGAATTCCAGGAAAGTCTGGGAAGACGCGCGGCAGAATCATCAAGCGTACATGATCAAAACTTGAGGATGCATGCGATTCTGGAGCTTGGAATTATCAATGGCCAGCTTATTGAAGCGTGAGATAAATTAACAGAACGGGAGGAAGAGTTAATTCCGGTTGGCAAACAAGCAACAGATACTAGTATTGAAGAGCAATCAAAGCTTGCAACTTTGAGTGCTGATGGAGCTTGGATCCACAACCCAAACTACCAGATCGATTAAGAAAGTATTCATCAAGCCAAAGCGGAAAAGCCATCTTGCGAAGAACCTATTGCGGTTGCAAAAGAAAATCAACGCAATCAAATCGCAAACTCATTCTCCACGTATAGGCGGCAAAATGATCTTTGTCAATCTGGCCGGAGCAAAATATCAGTAAATTCCGGAACTGGCGGTATTGACGATGAACAGACTCCGCAAGAACGCCAAGTGGTCGTCAGATCAATACTGAACTGCTGGCGCTGAAAGAGGTCATAAGTGCGTGGTCTGCCGGGTGAGCAAAAATTCCGTTTCGATCATCTCCATTGACAATGGTTTTACGAGAGTATTTCACCATGTGTAGTAAGGGGGCCTCAGCTATGATTGTAGCACTGACATCCACGAGTGATCAGTATTTGGCAACATTGAAATCACTTTAATATGGCAGCTCGATCGGCATTGCTCGTCTGAGAAATTAGTCTTTCATCTAAGTATTAGCTAAACATTTAGTTCTCAAGTCACTGTGAAGGGAGTCCAAGAAGTTAGGATTGTTGATTCATTGCTAATCGAATGGTCATGTTAGTCATGTAAAATCCAACAGTTTTTAGCGAAGAGACTGACCAAATGGCCATATTTGGTATTGTTATTCTTTCGATTGTGATTTGAGCCCTTCTATTACATAGACAAACAATACTTCGTTGCGAGTATCTATCTCCCGCAATGGGTAGCTAGGAAAGCTTTGTTCTATTTTGATATGAAATATGAGTACAAACTAGAGTCATGGTTTCGCCCAAGTCTTCATTCATGCTGGCTTCGACCCATTTCTCAACCCCACCATTCACGAACCACATCGTACAACTTTCGTTCGCTTACCACAGAAATCCCTAGAACTATCAACTCCAATCAACGTGTAAGACACTCGCGTTTCTATTAGCAAATGATTCCATATACACCGGCCTTTCGCTACGCCGAAGAATGTCATGAAGCGCGCGGCTTGACGTAACAGACTTTAGTCCGTATTTTCGATATTCTGGTTTCTGGTGCGACGGCTATATGATCCGGTTTGAATTCGAATTCAAATTACCAGCAGTTCATCGTTGTTGTATAATAAACATTCCTCCAATATACCGGATTTCTCCTCAAGCAACAATTCGTCATGACCCGAGTCTTCAACGACTAACAATGAATCGTGATATTGTTCTTCATCCTCAAGTTGCCAACGGTGGCCGAAAAACATCTCCTCGGATTCCGACTCTATTGCCAATCTTTCCATTTCTTCACCGCTTAACAGTGACTCATAGGCATCGTCGTCAACTTCAAGAAGTAGATCATCAAATTCGTGGTCTGGCACACCTTCATCATCACTAAGTATATTGTCGAATGCCGAAATTTCACTGTCATTATCCATAATCCATCGAAATTCATCGTCTACTATTGCTGAATCTTGTACGTCAGCGTCATCGACGATAGAGTCCAAAAGATCTTCGTATTCGTCAATCCCTTCAGCCATAACAATATTCTCTGAAGTTGAACGTTTATTGATAATCTGGCGAGCAGCTGATAGATCATGTAATGTTCGTTGCATCATTGACCATAGTCGAGATTGCACCACGGCTGTCAGCCTTTTCTCAGATCCTAGCTCACCATGTGTTTCTTCATCAGCGTGTACGTTGATAAATTCAGAGGTCGCCATGTTTGCAATCTGCTCAAGTTTTTGTCGTAGGCCTGGTGTTTGGGCATTGCGTGCCAATGAGGTCATCATTTGAATGATCCTAGGGGTGTAGCGAGAATTATGAGCTACCGACTATGTTACTTAGTAATTGAATCGGATTTGAGAAAGTGCTGATATTACCTTCTTGAAACCCGGAGAAAAAATGACAGGACTCAAGGCTGTAAGAGAAATAGCTGATATGTTTGAGATATTGTCAATCTTTACCCCCTTTGTTATTCTCTGTCTCCTATCTACTCCAGCAATCATAACATGTATCGCCGCAGTAACGAGTTTACATGTCGTTGTAGGATCAAGTACGTATGCCTCATCTTGAGAATTGAGAGTTGCGTTGCGTCTTTGGGAAAAACTTCCGATAGTGGAGGATTTCGATGAGTTGTTATTCGAAGTTCGAGCACAATGTCTTTCGTCGCTGGATAGAAGCAGCATTTCGTCAAAAGCTACATCTTCTGGTGACGTGGAAGCATCGTCTTGCTTGATTAAAGAACTAGTTTCCACTCTCTGTGGAACTTTAGGGGCCCTTTTCACCCTCTTACGAGAATTACTCGAAGGAATTACATTTCTAGAAGTGGATGGGAATTGGGAGAATGGACCCGAACTTATGAAAGAGCTCAATTGAGATAAAGCAGGTATAGCATGTAATGCGATACTCGAGTATAAACTCTCAGAACATTCTTTCAAGAGTTTGGAAATTTCTACTTTGGAGCCAACTTGAATGGTTGATGATGTGCTGGGTACGCTTGCTTGAGTAGTGTGGAATCGTTCCCTAGAGTTGGAATACCTTTCCAGAAGTGACGATATATTCTCACTAGGGCCAAATTTGATAACCAAAGATTTTTTTGGCATGCCTGACTGCGCGATCTTCAATATCTGAGAGGACCCTTTGCCGACCACCGAATTTAGGGGCAATGGTTTTCGTCTTTTTGGAGTTTGAATCCCTCCAGATATATGTCGAAATGATAAGAGCACTTTTAGCTGTTCCATCTGAGCGCAAAGTTGTGCGTCCGGTATCCTAATATCGGTAGTTGTGCATGACCAAGGTCGAACGTCGAGAATCGGTGAATTTAAAGGTTCTTTATTGTTTAGCTGAAGAGAAAGATTGTTCTTCTGTAGTGGTTCATTTTGCAAGTGAAGTATTGCGGATAATCCCAGCTGTTCCCATATCTTTAAATGGTGAGTAAGTCAAATTTTCTCTAGAGTGTTGATCTGACAAACCTTTGACTCTGCGACGAACTTACCCAACAACTCGATGATATGATTATTGTTAGCTCCAAACGATTCTTTGCCATCAAGATCAATAACGAAATCAACGCGACATGAATTCCCACTGGCGACCCATATTTCCCCCGATGTCAACGCTTTCAAACACTCGTCAACCGACAAGATCTCCAGCTTTCCAGACGGTAGTCTAATAACAACCTCGTACTCTAAATGCAGAGAGAGTTTGTCCGAGAGAGATGAGAAAGCAACAGGACCAAAATTTAATGACCTCAACAGCATGACAGAGAACGCGATGAATCTGATGAAGGTAGGTGGTCAAGAATACCATTGAAAATTCACGCCTGAAAGGGAACAATGGAATTAAAAATTAATGAGCACGATAAGGAAGGTAAAGAAATCGATTTGATGAAATCAGAGGACAGAGGAATGAGAAATTATGAATGAACAATAGGAAATTGATTGAGAAAGAAGGTTAGTAGTGTAGTGTAACACAGATAGTATATCAAATTGCACTCATCAAGGAGGATAGGTATATTGTCCTTATCTCGTAGTCTCCTGTATAACAAGATGCGACATTGAGATGAGACAGGCATGAACGAATGTATGTATATCACTGCCGCTGATGACTTTTGATTGATAGAGAGGTGGAGGGGGAACAAATGTGTGATTTTCACTATCGCTGGTAGAGATTGATTGATTGTGACTTGAAAGAGAGAGAGACACGTGAGAGACACAGAGATAAATTAATTAATATTGAAAGCGGAGTTTTCGGCAAAAGATTCTGCCCCTGTCTACCGCCCAAAATGATCTAAATCACACGCTACAAGCTGTGGTGACGGTATAACCCACAATTATAGTCAGGGGTGCTCGATGCTTTAGTCTCATCTCATTCTCTCTTTAATCCCACAACAATAATTTCAAGCCCAAATCCCAAGTCCAAGAAACCTCCATCCTACCTAGTCTCGAACGCTCGACCAATTCCAGTCGCCAATAGCCAATCCCAAGTCTCTGCCGAAGCCTTTTCTTCCGAACTACAAAGTAAAATCAACTCGTCGAGCCCCAAAATAGTGCCGTTCTTCCAGAACCCTATCCACCCTCCCCTCTTTCGGAGTCTTTTCAAAACCACCCTCTATAACTACCTACGTTCACCATGGCTTTGAGTAATGTTGGATCCATCGTTCTACAAATTCTAATATTCTTAACGACTCTGGTGAACTTTACCTTCACTCTCACTTCGCTGGGACCTTTCTTTCTACTCGTCCTATATGCAGTATCGAAGATTTGCGCAACGGCACCCGAGGAAGATATATTCAAGAAATGTCAATTACGTCACCTCTACCACGATTGATGAATGATACTTCTCAACCCAACCTGGACGAACCTCAAATTTCCTATTTGAAAGATGATTCATCTGCGAATGAAAGCGTTCATAGAAACCGAGGGCCAAAATCCGATATAGAAAACAATCATGAACATACCAATGGGAGTGCAAGTGGGAATAGAAATAGAAATGAAAACGGGAATGGGAATGGGAATGGGAATTTATATACCAATGGCAACGCAAGCCACAGAGGCTTTACGGTATTAGATGCCTCCGATGCGGGAGGTGATCATGGAATAAATGGAGTTGATCAACAGCCAGACACTGAGGATACTGCCGTTGCCAAAGTCAGTATTCGTGATCGCATTGGTTGTGTTACATGGACATGGTTCACTCTAACAATGGCCACTGGAGGAATTGCAAATGTCCTTTATTCAAGTATGTCAATCGATACAATTACATTTGGGACCGGCTCTAACATCCAACAGTCCCATATCGATCGAATTGGCTGAGAATCGTTGGAGAAATAGTCTTCTTCCTTAATCTTATATTCTTTGTAATGAATTGTATATTAATCTCTCTTCGCTTCAAATGGAACCCTGGAAGTTTCTCTAAATCTTTCCTTAGTCCATCCGAATCTTTGTATATTCCTGCTTGTGTAAGTCGACTCTAGTATCAGTGTCTGTTGAATACCTGTCTAATGTATGATTAGATGATATCGTGAGTAATTTCCTGTCTCAGCTAAAGAATCGCGTCTGAACCTTTGTAGAGTGGGAACAATTCTCGGACCATGTGTCAGTATGGAATCCCCAAGACGGGCCTATGGTTCCAAACTACCATGCAGGTATGCTTTTGGGCGTATTGCACTTTGAGCGTAGTTGCATCATCCGGCATGTATCTATTGCTTTGGTCCACTCAGTAAGTCTGAGCAAAAACTCCTCTTTGCAAAACGTCGGCTTATATTACTGCTTAGAGAATTTCCCATTGCTAATATGACTCCTCTCTGGACCTTCCCTGCCTACCCGTTACTACTGACTGGCCCAGTTGCAGCGAATCTTATCTCTACTTTACCAAATTCAACTGCGGCTGCACGCATCAATTCCACTGCTATAGCTTTCGGGGCAGTTTGCTTCCAAGGAATTGGATTTCTCCTCAGTCTCATGATCTACAGTGCTTTCCTCTATCGATTGATGACCAAGAAACTCCCCCAAGAGACAACACGACCTGGAATGGTAAGTCATGCCTGTAATTATTGTTTCAATTATTAACTAAGTATCAATAGTTCGTATCAGTTGGCCCTTCCGGTTTCACAGTGACAGCAATCGTTTCTCTCTCTAATTCGGTGCAGACGACCATCCTACCCAATGGTATTTTTGGTAACACCGAGGGCCCTTTCGTTTTATACTTGATGGGGAGTTTTACAGGACTCTTCATTTGGGGTTTATGCCTTTGGTTCTGTTTGATATCTGTAGGCGCTCATTGGCAAGTTATGCAACCTAATCACCCGGAGCATCACATTAGTGCGGACATGACATGGCAAGAATCTTCCCATCTCAAACATCTCGAGCATTGTTACTAACATAATTAGGAACTCGTTCGTCTTTCCAAATACAGCACTAGCCACGGCTACGATACAAATTGGGACGGCATTTGGGTCTAATGCTATTCGGATTGTTGGCACCGTGATTAGTGTCTTTCTGGTTGTCGTTTGGTTAGGCGTGCTGTTCATGATAGTTAGGGCAATCCTCCTGAAACGACTGCTCATGCCAGGACAGCTCAATGGGGCTGCTCATCAAAGAAAGAAATGGGCGAGAAAGTATGGCAATGGTATATGGAAGGACTGAAGCCGATCGTGGAATTATCTACATGGTGCAATACATCTGGAAAACTATTTTAGTATTTTTATTATTAATCAATTCCTGATTATAGGAATGGTGGCTATAGACTTGGATTTATTGAATATTAATAGCACACTTGTTATAAGATGGGGGTGATAGATAGAATTGTTGATAGCAGTGATAGAATTGTATGATAGCAAAAGAGATCGAGATATAGACAAGGGTCACTGTGGAATATCAATCCATTGAGAACTTTCTAGATTATTCAGCAAATTTAAGTCTCAAAACCGCTGATCGTATCATAATCCGGACAATCTATTTTCAAACATTGAAACCGCGACAATCTGAGCCGAAGAGCTCTGACGTCATATGTCGTCGCGTCAAATAGGAAAGTAAATAGGTCACTCACACATCAAAATAGATAACGTGTTAAAATTCTCCACTTTGTACCTGAGATTATATTTCACTTAATCATTGTGCTTTAATACCCACATATCGACGACAACAATAACAATATGCCACCGACGAAACGACCTTTGGCGCAAGCCGACACGAACGTGATTCTGCCACCGAAGAAGAAACATAAGGAGAAGCATGTTACACTTAGTGATCACGCATCGAAAAGTAAGGGAGAGTTGGTGGAGATGTTGAAGGAGAGATCCATGCCGAGTAACAGGACGAAGAACGTCTTAATCCAGAGGCTGAGAGATAATGATGGACATGTCGCGCCCATGGATTCAGGAAAGGCAGAGCGCAGGAAGTCTGCGAGGATAGATGCTGCAGAGCAAAGTGCGAAGATAACGGAAAGGCGCGAGGAAGGCTTGAAAGATCTATGGACTGTCAAGAATAAGGCATTGACTTCTCCGAGTGCGCCAATCGCCGAGAAGGCTTCCGCGAAATCTTCGAGAAACGCGGCCGCAGTTCCCTCACAAAGCTCGCATGGGCATCGAATCAATTATAGAACAAAGGATAATAGTAAATTAAGGGCATTGTTACGCGATTGGCGAGTGATGCAGCCGGAGGAGGTGGAGAGTATGGACAGGATGGCGATGATCGAGAGGCTTGAGAGACATGAGATGAGGGGTTACGGAGATGATTATGAGAGTTTAACCTGTGATCAACTCTCGACACTATTGAGTGCGCGGATGCTTCCATGTAGTGGAGTTACGAAAGCGGCGCGAATTGAACGATTGAGATACGATGATGCTTTGGATCGAGACAATGGGAATCTGGAAGAATACAGTCTGTACACTCATCTTGTGATTTGTCAAAATGAGATACTGAGATATGAACAACTGATGAATTGGGTTGAAGGCGAGGAAGGGGAAAAATTATACCAAGATTTGGAAGTGGCGGATTTGAAATCCCTAATGGATTTGAGGCAACAAGGAAGAAAGATAAAAGTTGTTTGTGAAGATTCTGAGTTAATTGGATGGTTGGAGGCGGATGACCAAAAGCTGGCGCGGAAGAAAAAAGTCGAGATATCTACGCTTATGGGATCCGAAGTTCCTGCGGAGCTGGAACGATGGGAAAAGAAACTTGCGGATACGAGAATGGATTTAGAGAGTAGGATAGGCCATTCACTCCCAGCGGAGGTACCAATACATGAATCGTCAAAATACGATGTTCCTGTTGTTACGAAGAAAACTGGGGACCGAGGAGCCTTGGATTATGATCCTAAAAAGACGAATTGGGGCCTATTCAGTGCCTAGGAGCTTTGTAGAATTGCGATGAAGAAAGGTGCACCAGGATATGGAACAAAGGATGCGATGATCAAATGGCTTGAGACTGGGATCCTTGAGTATGAAGATATGCACCTTGAGTCGCTTAGAGAACAGTGCTGGAAGCGCTTAGTGCCGCAATACAGTAATGATGATAAGGCAGCTTTGATAGAAAGACTCAAACTTTTGGATAAACATATCAAGGATAGCGAGGAGAGCTCCGCAAGGGAGACAAGCGAAACTACCGAAGCCGAAAATATTGAGGAAGGCAGTGTTGAGCAGGCTGACGAGATTGTTCCGGTTGCAGAGCCATCAACAATTGGCACCGTGTCTAGTGACTCGCCATATGCTAAGAAAGACAATAGCATGCTTCGAGTTTTGCTACGAGATCGACACCTTCAAATCTCGGGTACACGGGAAGAAATGATTAATCGCTTAGAAACTTCTCCATACAACTACGAATCCTACACTTCTGAAGAACTTTCCCTCATACTCAAAGATCGCCACCTAACTAACGCGAGTCACGGAAGCAAAGAAAGCAAAATCGAGCGACTCAAGAACAGCGACGAGGCTTTCTATGATTCCGCCAACCTCGAAGACACGCAATTGTATGTGCAATTGAACCTTGGGGAGAGATTTATCAAAGATAAGGAACAAGCTTTAAAGGCTTTATCTGATCCAAACATATCATATGAGAAATTAGACTCCAGCGCTCTCCGTGAGCTTGCATCTGCTTTGGGTTTATCTCCGCACAGTGGAGAGAAGACGGTGATTAAAAAACTCCACGCGAATGATCAGAAATCAACATTGGAAGGTAAAGATAACACCGCTATGCGTGATGCTATCGATGAATTGACCGCATCTCTCAAAACCCGCAAAGAGGAATATAACAAAGCGAAAGAAGAGCTAGAGAAAAGCATAGGACATCCTGTTCTAGATATCGCAATTGTGATGGGACGATATAATGCTATAATGAGACGCGACCATGAAATAGTCAACAGTTATCAGCCAATACATAAACCAGGGCCAATCTGCGACTATGATTGGAAAGACTCTCACTGGGCTGGAAAGACCGAGAGGGAACTGAGAGACATGTGCCTGAGACAGGGCATGGAGGGTTGGGGCACTAAGGCTACTTGCATCAAATGGCTCGAGACGGGGTCGGTAGAGTATGAGGATTTATCGGCAACGAGTCTCGAGATAATGTGCAGAAAACGTGGGATCAAATTCAAGTCAGGCACAAAAAGACTGGATTTAGCGATGAAACTTGGGGAGACTGCCGAGAAAGAGGCTGCGTATCGAGAATCGGAGATTATGGCACTGAAGAAAATGTGTAAGGAACGCGGCATGAAGACCACGAGTGGTGAGACAAAACAGGACTTGACAACAAAGCTTAGAGTAGCTGACGAGAATACCGGGCGGGGATAGGAAGCTAGGTTGACGAGGGCGTTTCATGGATACTAGTAGCGATCATTTTCTTTCTTGGATCTTCTATGCCTTTTTTTGTAAGCTCGTTATCCCTTATTATTATTACATTTGTATTTTTCTTTCTTTGTTAATCTTCATCGACGGTCTATCATGTGACTAGTAAGCGTGACATCGATGACTACAATGAACAAATGGTGAAATATGCTTGACGAACATCTTTACATCTATTTGAACGAGCTAGAGCTAACCACTTCGATTGTTTTTCCTAGCATACTACTCGGGGTTCTAGAGCTAGATGCTGGCGCTAGTCCGTGGAATAGGCAACTTTCGATGTCAAATCAGACTCCTCAAGGCTAGGTGACCGCGCCGCATACTGTCTAGATTGAATTTGATAACTCGATCCATTTGGGGGCAAGAAAGAGAGGATTCTAGGAAAGTAGAGGCATGATAGAAAGACGATAAACGGAGTTGATGAGCCTAGAGATTCGAAAGCAGTGACGGAGATCAAGCCTTTCAGGAACGTATGGGGGATTCCGGCAGAAATCACACAATTTGAGAAATACATGATTTCAGTAAGACTCCTGACTATGTTCATATCAGTAATGATCTTATGTGAGATATGTCCGGAAACACATCATACAAATATAAGAACCTCTGGTAAAGATGGCTTTCCCTCCACAACGATTGAGTCATTGGGGATATCAACCAGATCATGGAATTGTGAAGATGAATAGCAGACCAAAGATAGCAACAAAAGCATCGATTGCTAATGGAGAAGGTAGTTTAAATTAGGTAGTCGGCATAGACAGTGCTGAGCTAGAACCGAAAGGTAGGCGACGTCCTAGCTACTCGTGTATATAGAAAGTGCCTTCCGTCAACAATGACGCAGGCTTCGGCCAATATTTGAAGATTTCGGATCGGAGTATTTGCATCGTCTCAAAGAACAAAAGAAGTGATTTTGAACTTTATCGTTGAGAAAACATGGTAAAGATCAAGAAAGAGAGCGAGACGGGTAAGGAAACTAAGGGTTTTTGAACCATTTGTATACTGTTGAAATTGATTGGTTAATAAGTCTTTCAAACACACCGTTGCAATATCTATGTAACCCTTTTCACCTCCTTTCGAATTCAGTAAGCAAATGATTGATTGTTCTTTGATTTAGAATCAGTGTTGAACAATTGAGTGCTCGAGAAAGAGACTACTTCCAACGGAATAAGGCGCAACAAAGTACGGAGTTCGGAATAAGCAAGTCAACCCCGACTTAGCCCTGGTAAAAGCCTGTGCTTCTTTATACGAATGGCCCTATCAGAGCCACGAACGCGGGCTCTGCACACTGTAGCTCCCACCAAGTCCAGCATGATTCCAGGGCTCTCTTCCATCACCATCATCGAAGCGTACGTCACTAGTCAGCGCTAAACATCAGTCAATAGATATCTATCTATCTCATGGTATACAGTGAAGACAGCTGTTTAGATTTGTGAATCAATTGAGAACATTGACACTCTAGCTTAGCTCTCAGTGGTACCCAAATTGAAGTCCCAGCTAACTCCAGACAAAATGACGAGAAAATATCCTATTCAAGGATCTACTTTATCTGATTCTACATCGATTTTGTCATTACGATCACCCGCAGCCAACTCTTCCCAGATCGTAAAATCAACGCCCTTACGCTCCTCTTTGTCTTCTAACCACGAGTATTGGATTCACACCACTACCCTGTTCAACAGTCGCACCAGAGTTTTCGAAAAAAATGTTTCTCTTCAAGTAAACACAAAGACAGGTCTAATAACGAAAGTTAGCACGCGAGAAAGCCCATCAATTACTTCACTCGGAGACAATGATCTCGATCTCCGAGGGAAAACCGTTCTACCAGGGTTTGTAGACGCACATACTCATATCTTTCTGCACCGTGTAGACGAGGCCGGATCACCATATTTGAATCAAGAGCGGGACGAATCACTCATCTCCCGTACCATTCGCGCCACAACCAATTGTCGTCTAGCTCTGCTAGCTGGATATACTACGTACCGCGACCTCGGGACCGAAGGATGCTACAATGCCGATATTGGTGTTCGTGATTCCATAAACCGTGGTCTAATCCCGGGACCGCGTTTATTCGTTGCCACGGAACCTCTAGCTTCTAGTGGTAGCTATGAGATTCGGCAAGAGAATAAGTTGGGAGGAACAGAGACTCCGCGTTTGAGCGATCCTTGTGATGGGATTGAAGGATGTAGAGCAGGTGTGAGGAGAAGAATTGGTGCTGGTGCTGATGTTATTAAGATCTATGCTGAGTATCGGAGACGTGCGCTACGCTATCCAGCATCTACATACAAAGGTTCTGAAGATATTCAATTTCCTCCATCTCGAAATCGGGGGGAAGATATTTTTGGCTCTAGAGAGAAGTTGAGAAATCCGAATTCTCTTCTTTGGAGTCAAGAAGAGATGGATGTTATGGTAGCTGAAGCCAAACGCGCTGGTGTGCCGGTGGCAAGCCATGCCAGTTCAGAAGAGGCAGTAATTATGGCTGCTAAAGCAGGTGTCACGAGCGTAGAGCATGGGCTCATGCCCAGTGAAAAGGCATTGCAAGTGATGAAAGAAATGGGTACAATTTATATTCCTACACTTTCGGTCGTAGAATTAGAGGCGAACGATGGAGGAAGAGCAATTTCTATATGCAAAGAGCACGCCAAACGAGCTTGGGAGATTGGAGTAAAACTAGCCACAGGATGTGATACAGGGCCGTTTCCCCACGGAGAAAATGCGAGGGAGATGGAGTTGATGGTTCAAGCTGGAATCGATGTGGCTGATGTGCTAAGAGCTGCTACATTAGGAGGATGGGAAGCTTGCGGTGGGGAGTTGTGCGGGCAGGATTTTGGATGGTTGGGTGAGGACTGGATTGCAGATTTGGTAGCTTTAGACGGAGATATGGAAAAGGATGGACTTGAAAAGGTTATTAGAAACGTCAGCTGTGTCATAAAGGACGGAAGAATGGTGGTAGCGGATGGGAAGATTGTTGGTTTTGTCTGATCATAATTACCACCATTGGTATGATAGTCGTTTACTTGGCCTAGAGTAATATGTCAGGTAATAGTAGTCCTGGTCTGCTCGTTTGGACTATTTACACCAGTTTATACGACCACCTAGACATCAAAGTATATAGCGATCTGGACTCACAACCACCTCCGCAAGTTTCACAGTCCACAACTTCCCGCTTCCCTCCACAATCAAGACATCTCCCGCCAAAGCAAAATTTGCAATCTCAATATCTGGTTCTCCCGCCGGATCATCCAGGAAGACTTCCACATTGAAGAACCCCAACACCTTTCCTACATTATTTCTCACTACAATCCCTTCGCTCTCAGCCGTCCATATCCTATTCTTGTCATCTATGTGAATACCATCCGGGATTCCCGTTCTCGCGATTCCAATTAGTCTTTTGTTGATAGGAAACACATCAGAATCGAGATCGAACTTATAGATAGCGTTGGAGCCAGAATTATATCCACCAGAATCTGTTGCGGTTATGGGCGTGGTATCTGTAACGTAGAGGGCATTCATGGCGGCATTAACGTTGATACCATTAGGTACTAAGATATCTGCACGGGATATAACAGGAACAAGAGACTTAGTTGTGGGAGAGAAACGCCAGACGGCATCTGGGAGAACGGCTGATGGACCACCATCGTAAAGAGAGGAGAGTGGATCGTCGGTGAAGAATAGATAGGGAGTTCCCTGGTGGCTTACCCATGTGAGATCATTAGGTCCGTTGAAAGGAACACCGAAGTAGGAGTTTATGATGATTTTTGTGTGGCCCGTGGCTGGGTCGATAGCATAGATCGCAGGAGGAACTGTAGCATTACCATCACCAGCGAGATATACAAGATGATTGAAATAGGTGCCTCCATTAGGATTAATTATGGGAATACTGGTGTTTGGGGTGGATATTTTGGAAGTGTTGAGGTTCAGAACCGAGATCGTCGTGGCGTCATCTATTGAGGAGCTTGTAAACCACACTTCATTACGATCTGGTACCCATATACCGGCTTCATTCGCAAAGGAATAATTTCGCTGAGCAATAAGAGTGATTGTGGGATTTGTACCGAGAAGTTTCAGGAATTCAAGGTCGTAGGATATGAATGCGCTGGATTTTGCGGAAGTGAGTAAGACTGATAAATTTGCATTGCTTGTTTGTGTGTCGACAAAGCTTTGACTGATGTTCCCATGATAATTAGGAAGTATTAAATAGGTCGATTCTGGATCTATGGAGACGGTTATGTTGATTGAGGTATTCAATGCTGCTTGCGCCACAGCTAGCAATATACACGCGCATACGATGACAGATGTATGGTTTGCCATGGTGGTCACAGTAATCCATATACGATTTCAATGAATGTGAATATATAAAGATCAAACAACCAGTCAAGTCCTCTACTGAGTACCTAGTACTTATATAATATAATCCGGTTAGATAGCTTTTGGCTTATGCGAGACTACTTCCGAAAGGGGTGTGAGCCTCGCAGTCTGACATGATATCTAACATATGTCATGTACGAAGCAATTTGTCATCCCCATAAGCTTGCAGTGGTAGCATCACATTGAGCTCACACGCATCTAATTTCTCTATTTCACCGTTTAGAGAAGATTTGCATTCAATTTCCTCAAGATTCCTGGGCTAAATATATGCGTTCGAAAGTAGCTTGATTTGATCAGCTTTGCCTCTTCGTAAACTTCAACAACAAAATACATCACGAACTTTCTATATTACCCTCTGCATGCTGCGTGAGTCAGGTCATGGCCTTGAGTTCGAATCACGTAGAGTCTCTTCTAATCCACTGGGACTGCAGCCCGAAAGGTGGTATGATTGCTTAGCACTGGCCAGCCGCAGAGGAAAAGAGCTCATTTTTCAATTGAAAAAAGGACAATCAATAATCTTTCTAGGTAATTTATTTGACAACAGCCATTAAGAAGCCGTCCCAATTCTTCTCTGAGACAATTTGCAT